ACATGCATTTACACTTACATCTGATTTTTAGCCGCTTGTCTCTGAGCTTTCCGTTCTTTCCTTTTTTGATCTGGTGGCTTAGCAAAAACAATTTCAATGTTTTCTCCCTCTAAATCTTTGCCATTCATTTCTTCCATTGCCTGAAGGAATTAACCAGACTTTAAATATACTTCCAAGCATAACTGAAGTTTTAAATTTTGTTCTATCTTTTACAGTATGCATTTCTAAATTTGTTATCCAGAGCTAAAATAACAATATAAAGCTAAAAAAAATTTAGACAATCAGACAGCATAGTATTATGGGTTCCAGTTATGCATTTCCTCTGAACTTGACTCTCAAATACAAGGACTTCATGTATCAGTTTAGAAATCTTCCTCTCAAAACTGAAAACAGGCTTCAATCTTTGCAAACTGTTACAATTAATGAAGTAACAAAACTGTCCTCTGAAAGTGCACATTTTGTAATCCATGAATAAACTCCTAATGTCAGCATACATGCAAACAGCAGAGCTCAGTATATTCCGCTACTCCTTTATTTTACTTACAATACATATCACTTTTTCAACCAGAAGCCAAAAATTAACAAGTCATTGTGATTACAAGGGAAAAAATGAACAAAACAACCACAAAAAAACCCCAACTCCTCCCCAAATCCAAACCACCACCTCCCCACAACCCTCTCCTCAAAAAAACACAAAACAAACAGCAAACCATGAGCTGCTCCCCTAGCCTCCCTGCCATGTACAATTCCCATGGGCCACAGTTATTACTGCAAGTTAATTTTGAGCAGAGGAATCCTAAAGATCCTATCACTTTTAGGGATTCTACATAGCTTAGACTCTTTCCCATCATCTTCCTAAGCATCTGCTTTAAGACATATGGATATGTAAGAAAAACTGAATCCCCCTGTATCCTGAATCCACCCACAGAACATAAAAAAATGGATACACTACAGACAGGAGGGGAATTACTTTCCCTTCCTTAACAACACATGATATCAAGACTGGGCTAGCAAAATCCAGGAATGACAATTACTAAATTCTCCAGCACCCTTCATTGGGAAAAAAAAAAAAAAAAAGTGTTTATTCCTGGAAAAATGAATAAAAAACACTACCTAAGTTTTTATCACCTGCCCTAGAGAAACTGCTTTAGATTTCTATCAATAATTTGGTGAGAAGAGTAATTCAACTTCTGGCACTTGAGTTTCAAATGGTAACAACATTATTATCTTAAAAACTCATCTGCAGAACTACTTAGTGCAGGTGCATTTAAGATCCACTTTTCAAGCTAGAATTGCATCATCCTAGGAGACACCCAGAGAGGACAAAGTTATCAGTGACGGTGTATTACCATTTCTCCAGACAAAGCTTTTTCTCAAATTAGAAAAAGCATACAGCTCCTAACACTACTTACAACACACAGTTACACTCCTCTTCACTCACCTTTACAGCACCATCCCGTTCATCAAAATGAATGAAAGCATAGTCTTTTAGCTTCTTCACTCGTTCAAGCTTTCCAAATTGACTGAAGGCCTTTTCTAGAATCTCCTCTGTTACAGTATTGGCGAGATTGCGTACAAACAAAACTTTTACCTAAGGGGGATAAAAATAAAAAAGAACTTAGGAGTATGATCTAATTTCAAACACAAAATGAAGCTTCACAAGTTAGTGCGATTGGCAGAACTGAAAAAACATCATTACATTTTCTGTACAGCATTTTATATACATATATATGAATATATACACATAAATAGTCACACAGCATGAGTTAATTCCAAAATTCCCTGACAGAAATATTTAATCTGTTACCAAACATGATTATCTATTAGTATCCTGAAAGTCAATCCAATTTGTGTTAGTGTTTAAAAGGATCCTACCAGCAGTTACCTTCGACCCAGAACACTATTAAACTTGAGAGAAGGTAACCAGAATTGGTTACACACAAAACAATTAACTTATCAAAACATTTAATTGTTTAGACAGGCTTTAGCTCAGTTATTTGCAGCACAGTCATCGCTGTAATATCTAGGTCAGAGGTGACAGGCCTGCAGCTTCCAAGCTGCTTAACTTGGGGTTCCCATGTTATAGCTACACCAAACACCTAATGTCAGGACTGTGCTTGCCTGGGGAGCTCTCAGTGACCTGAAGCCACTACTGAAAGACAGAACTGCAGACAGAGGGGGATACTAAGGCTGACACTGGCCAGTCATCCTTCAACTTTCTGAAGCCAAACTGTGCTGTTCCCTTGAGGAAGAGTCACCCCCCAAATAACTGTGTAAGTTTATTCCCTCCCCCAGCTCACTAAAGCAATATGACTCTTAAGCTACACAGAGATTGCTCTGCATCTTCTAAAATCAGAAAGGCAGGTAATCATCCAACTCTTGACTGCCTGACATGGATTAAATCACCAATATAAATTTCATCAATCACCAACTGCAAAGGATAAAGGAAAATCTAGAGCAGTCTGACAAAAGCTTAAAATAAACCCTTACTTAACATAGCAAACAACATATACTGGAAAGCAGGAATCACCTATTAGTGACCCAACAGTATTGAAAGATTCATCCTTGTGTCCATGCTGAGGCTGCACTTAATGACTGGACATGAGCATGTCTACATGATGCCATCTATGTGTTCTCACAATTTAAAAGACTCTTCAACTTGTTGAGTAGAGTTCCTTCCATGTGCTGGCACCATGCTCTGACAGTTTAATCACCTCCTACTGCCAAGAAATGCTCAGTCTTACCTGCCTACAATGGAGCTGCCAATCAGCTGCAAGACTGCAACTTCTGGTTACATCCTCTCTGCTCTTACTGGTTTCAAATTGGCTGATAACATCAAATGAGCACTGCACATGGCAGCACTAACTCCTGACCCTGAAGGTCAACACAAGTAACACAAAATGTGAAAGGACCAAATGTTTTTGAAGAAGTGCTATGTAAGTAAGTTACAAAAAAAACCAGGACAGACTTTCATAAATCTGTCTCACTCACTAGCTGACCTAGGATATGATGCAGAATTTGGAAGAAGGGATACTACAGACCATAAATCTAACCCAGTATATCAACTCTAGACTTTGGCAATCAACTCCTGTTGATTCTCAGATCATAGAAGTCATAGCCAACTCCACAAGGAAAGCTGTTTCCTATTATGCATTAAGCTTCTCCTACATGTCTTAATGGTAAAAGCAACCTTTATTTATTGTAACATATACCCAATAACCATTTTTAGTAAAATATCCTAACTGCTACCTTAACCTTATTCCATGGAAATGAATTACAGAAGTTTCATGATGTAATCAATGGGTTTGAAAACTGCTAACTTTTAAGCAAACGTTCCATATTCTTGTTCTTTAGAAAAGGATGAAAACTAGAACCTTACAAGGAATCCTAAGTAGCCTAATAAATCCATGATGACTGACATGATTAAAAACTAGATAATCACTATATTCTACAAGATGCGCAAATATAGTGTTTCCTGAAGAAATAAAAAACCAATTAATTTAAATTTTCCCAATGTAGACAAATCCATTGATCTCGAACAGCTGAATTTCTAAATACTTTTGCTCATGTCACTGATTACAAGTGTAACTGAATGAGTCAAAGATGATGTAAAAGCCATTAGGCAGGTTAAAGCATAGGTTGAGAGAAGATGAACCCATTTTTACTTCACTTAAGCCAGCTAAAAAAGGGAGGGAAGGGGAAAAAAAAGAAGTCCTCTTCATTAAAGCTCACACATTATTACCCCAAGAATGCATAGATACTCCTAGCAAGCAATATACCCAGCACCAGCATTTTGTTTTAAAGGCAGAACTCTCATTTTAAAATCTGCTTAAGATTAGACTATCCCAAAACTTCTGGTATCTGCTCCTTTTCCTCCTCTTACCTACAGCACAAACACTTCAGGCCACATTCTCCAAGGCTTACTAGCCCTGTCTCTTGTCCTGTAATCTGTCAGCCACAAGCATAAGACTTTATTTAGCTGATTAACCTGCCACTCCAGAACGTCCTCTGCAGCCTCAGCCATCCTACAGAAATCAAGTAAAACATTAATAAATTTAGCTAGACTACAGGTGTAAGAGGCAACAAAATGATTCTTAGGAGAAAATAAACTATCAACACAGCTGCTTGTGAAGTTGGAAAAAACTTCACTTTGGACCAGAAGTCAATACTTTAACCAAGTATACTCTGATCTGTTAGCACAAGCATTTATCTCCTGTAGCACATCCATCTAGCTTGAGAATCTAGCTTCATCGCTCATCATGCTCAAGCTAATTTGTATTTAAGATAACAGTCCTTTTAAACTATAAGTATTTACCCATACAGTACTTTCCACAACATTTTATCAGAAGGACAAAGGAAAAAAAAACTCGAGTAGACATTTCAGAAATTTATATTAGTAAGTGTCCATATATTGATGAAATGACATGCCACTTCTGAAGAATTTACAACACTGTTCACTTTCTGGCTACACATATGTGAATTTGTCTTCCTTACAGCTTGCTCTTATGGACTTGCTCTTCTAGCAGTCGTGACAAGAAAACTGGTGACCAAATGATTATTCTGATAAAAACAACCTACTTCTCCTAGTCACAGTCTCCTCCAGAGTCTTCTACCATAGCAATGTTCAAGATGACATGGGTCAATAGATTTCCCTTTGCTCTGGCCTGACAGTAGTCAGAAGCACTGACTGCAGCCAACCTGCAGCTCACATCCAGGAGATTACTGATGGCAGCAGAAGCTCTGCTGCTCTTTCTCTTAGAAGAAAGATACCAAGAAGAGAAAATAAACCTTACACTTAGAGAAGGGCCAGATACAGTCAGCCTCTGCACAGGTACTGATGGTGGCCAAGAAAGACTGGTGTAGAGACTTTCCTTGTTGCAAGAATAAACTAAAGGATGCAGCCAGTGAGGAAGGTCAGACGCCAATTATCATCTCAGTTTCTGTCTTCAGACACAACCCAGATGTTCTCTATTTTTTCAGTATTATTCATAGAGCCTCACTTTTCCATACATCTTCAACCCAAGCTCCATGTCCTATCTTTGGCATGTGGCACCAGACGTATTCAAGTTGATTTTTCTCCATGTTTTCTACATTTCTTTCCTTCATTTCCATGTTTCTTCTCTTTCTATGTCCCATTTCAAATACAAAACAATAGAAGGTATTAACACATTCAAAAAACTGTACAGTAAATAGGGCAAACCACAATCAAGCTTTAATTTCTTTAGCCTTTCACTCTGCACATCTGCAAACTTACTTAGGAGAGATGCTTGATTATGTCCCCTATAATTTCCTTTCCATCTATTTCGTTACATCAGCAGAAATTGTTGCATATTTATTTTAACTGTTTGGTGAATTAGGTCTCTTCTCTTTTGAGCCCAGAAACTAAACACACAGGCTGCGGTATTTAGGAAGTGCCATTTTCCACAACTTTGACCTGCAAGACTATTTCCCTGCTGCGGACAGTCTATCATGCTGGGCAAGAAAAATAAAGTCTGCAGACAAGATAGTCCAAAAGCTTCTGTAATACCTGTATTACAAAAGCAGTTTTTTCCCTAAAATGAGCCCCCACCCCAACCCTTTTCCCTTATGGCTCACCAAAGAGGAGATCCCAGCCAAGCTATCTTACTAGGTCCATCAAAGTAGGACTCCAGCAAGTGACGTGTCTCAGATGAGAGTAAAAGCACAGACAAAAAGCAAGCAAAGAGAAAGAGATAAGGATATGGGCTAGCTAAGAGTTTCCATTAAACAACTCAGCTACACAACACAACTGAAAGAGACAGGGTCGGGCAGTATCTGATGGGGGAGAAAAAAAAAATCAGGTAGTTTGTTTCTGGCAAAATACCAGGCACATATATAAAACAACTGCTACAACATACTTCAAAATGTTAACAGTCCAGACTTCAGCTTCGCCTCAATACTCGAAATCCGAAATAGTGCCAGTCTAGGTATAAAAAGAATTAACTCTCCCAAATTAAAAATAACTACCGGGTTCCAAATACAAGCTAATTGCCAAACTTATCAGAAGTAACTGCTAATGGCAACTTTGAAATACATTTGTGTACATTTGAACACTGACATGTTCTTTCTAATGCTGAAGTGATAGTTAGAGGTTCAAAAATAATTAAGGGTGTTCTGTGAGGGTATGTCTGTTTCTGTCCTTCCAAACACTAGGGTACAAAACCATTTTAACTCTAGGAGTCACCATCATCACTTCCAGGTAAAAAATTAACTACAACATCCTATGCGTCATATGGCAAGAATTAAATTCACTATTCAGCCTTGGGAACACAAAATAATATAAGGTCACAGAGTTTTTAAATCCACATAATTTCTGAGGTATATTAATTTCTTATCATCACACTTACAACATCCCTGTCAAGATGGCTGAAAAGATGTTATTTACTTTTAGGTTAATGCCAGAAAATACCTAATTTGGAACAGAGCACTTTAAATGTACTATGGTCCCCTTACAGCTCTATTACCTTTGCCATGACTTCAGGATCTGGGTCTTCTATAGGGTCAGCCCATTCCACTGTAACAACATTTCCCCAGACTTTCACTTTGCCACTCATTAGCCTACGCCTGGCCTGAGCAGCAGTTTTGTGATCTTCATATTCAAGGAAGCAGAAACCCCGGTTCTTCTTCTTGTCATCAGGCTGATGATACAATATGACATCTGTGAGACCCTCTGAAATGAAATAAAATATTTATTTGTTATGCTTTCAATTCACTGATTTGCATTATAAAGTGCAGGTTGTCTTTGTAGCTATGGAAGAATATTCTTTCTCTTAATTGAATGAAGGAGAGTTAGGGGTGGCCAAAAGTTTTGCTTTGTCAATTCACCTATTAAATCCCTAAGTTACAACACTTACCAGTGTGGTTTTTTTTCCATAATGTCTAAACAACAAGAGATAAAAGTTGCATGACTTCAGTATCTAAAAAGTTAATTGCTCCAAAGAACCTGAAGTCTATCATTCAGTAACAGAAAAACAGTACTTCAGCAAGTTCAAATGTTCAGAAAGAAATTCTTAAAATTTAAGAATTATAAACCACAGAACCAGTTACATTCTTCTGCCTTGAGTTTTCAAGTTTTGCCCTGAGACGTTTTCGAACATCCATTAGTACTGAAATTATTAAACTTTTAATTCAAATTTCTTTGAACAGTTTTTTTAAACATTAGACACTTCTTACAAGTAGAACTTTGAACCACCCATCTAGTACAATTACAAATATCTCAGGCCTCAGCAAAACTACAGGTTTTAAAAAACCCCAACAAACCCCAACACATAATGCTGAGATAAATGCTGAGTGATCTCTGTTTGTTTTCATCATCACTCAACTATAAGCTAAAAGACAGCTCATCACTGATCACATTTGACACTTTCCACCTCTATAAAACATTGTCACTGTCTCACCTGTTACTTTGCTGAATTCTTCAACAATTTGCTCCTTGGTTTTACTCTTAGGAATAGAGCCAACAAAAAGCCTATTATTGGCAACAGAGATGCATACACCAATGTGTTTTCCAGACCGAATTTCATGGTTGTTGTACTGCAACAAAAATATTATTGGATAATCATCAGTTACAAATAATTTTCATGCCCCTGCAACAGCAGCATACCAAATATTTAACTTTGAAAAACCCAGAATTGAGCAATATATTAAATTTTTGCAGCTTAACACATTTTTACTATGCATATTCAACTACTCTGAAGTATACCCATGTTTTCTAAAGTATCTCCACAATTTCAGCGAACAATTATTGTTCCTTCCTTGTTCAAGTCTCTCAACACTTTTTTCTTTAGCAACTTTTTCATAAGAACCATGCAAGTCATCAAGGTCAAGGCTTCTCCCTCCACAATCATGCATTAAAAAAATGCAAGTTCCTCTATAGGCTGTAGCTATAAATTCTTGATTTGTGTGCAATACAAGACATGAGTTACAATTAAAGTCAAATTCCCTCCCTTAATTCTGATGTTCCACAGATTAAAAAAAATTTCATGATCAGGTCTTCTCCACAAAATGTTCAAGTGCAACTGGCAAATACTTTCCAAAGGAGAAACATTATACACGGAAAAATAGTCAACAGCAAGAATAAGTTTCTAATCTTGAAATCCTAAGACTTGTGTTAAAATGCTTCTCCCATAGCATCTGGAAGATACCCTGAACAGATCAGCAGTTTAAGCAGGAAAAAAAAAAAAAGTATTACTGTAGGCATCTGTTAAGAAAATATCAAAAAATGCCTTTCAGACATGCAGACACAGACATGCACCATCCAAATATAAGCAGCAGGGAGGACAACTGCTGGTACATCAACCCACTTCTAACTGCAAGCCCTGCAACAGACAGTTCTTTAGCTAAGAAAATGAATTTTGTGGTCAACATCTTATTGCCAAGTAGTAGAACAGATTTTTAATATTTAATCTAGTTACTTATTCTATTATTTATTTTGTACTTGATGGTAAATCTTACTACCTAAGCTAGTTATCCTCCACCCCATCATGTTTTTTATGCAATAAAATCTGGTGTAAGATGCTTATTTATATTTATCTTGGACAAACAAAAACTCCACTACTGAAAATTTTCTAAACTAGGTAACTGCACCAGAAGTGAGGAAAAAGGAGAACTGTCCATGTGAAAAGGATGTGGAATGATGTCTTCACAATGGAATTATGTCTCAAAACATAGCAGGAGACAACAAAGGACTTATATCTCCATATCTGCTGCCCCTGTGGCAGAGGAATAGTTGATTTTTAAGTAGGAAACTGAAATAGGAGCAGCGCTAGCTGCATAGGAAGACTGCATATATATATTATCATCACTAATAAACACACACATTAATGAAGAGACAGATTATAGTAGCTAAAAAAAGGAGTCTTCTAAAAAAACACCTTTAAAGAAGTGTATTGGTCTATGGAAGTGATCCTTCACTAACTGAACTGTACACTAGGAAACATTTCCTTGCATTAGGAAACTTTTTTTACTGAGAGGGTGCTCAAACACTGGAGCTTCCTAGAGAGGTGGTCAATGCCCCAAAGCTGTCCTGGTCTAAGAGAGGCATCTGGACAATGCCCTTGATGATGAAGATGACAGCAACAATTTTGGTCAGCCATGAAATGGACAGGCAGATGGACTAGATGACCGGTGCAGGTCCCTTTCAAATTAAATACTCTCTTCTATATGGATAATAGAAAGTATTATCCAACTATTCCTGCTAAAGTCTAACACCAAAGTTTGGCTAAAAATCTAATGTAAGAGTCTCTCATACAACTCAGTGTGCTGTATGAGAGTTAATATTTTCTACCATTTTGCAGTTCCACTGATAGTTTCTAGTAGATTTTTTATCCTCCAATGTACTAACCACTATTTTTCACTGCATGTGAAAAATACACAGAGAAAACAGTTTTCAGTTAGGTGTTCTTGACCATCAAATTGGTAATTTTTAGGTAAATACTTTGCACACCACCTGCAAACTCAGATTAGCCATAAAAAGGCTCAGATCATGATCTGGGTAAAGTGCCAAAACAGTCAGGCTACCAAAGTAGCTATGTCAGCATACTGCTTCCCCCCTCCTGTCACCATGGAATCTGTCTCTGAAGTCAGTAGCAGAGATTGCCACCCTCTAGACAATGTAATAGTTTTGGTTTTTTCTCACTGACTTATATAAGAACTTACTCACTAACAAGTCAAAATATGCAGGTCTGTCCTGTCACTTTACTAAACTTAAATTTTCACAAATTTTAGTTTACTAGAAGCAAATGGCAAGCTGTACCTCCATGATAGTTGGCAAACTGCTTAACTCACCTGTACTTCTGATCAAGCTTACACCTGTTCTAGACAAAAATATACTGGATGCTTCAATAGTTTTCAGTATGTTTTCCTACAAGCTTCACCTCAAAAGTTTTTATTCTGTACATATCTACAGTGACCTTATTCACAAAGAAATCTTTTGAAAAACTTAACTCTAGCAACTTCTTATGAAATAGGAAGGAGGACTGAACATGACTGCAAAAAAAGTACACAACTGGAATTGTAATTCTTGAAGAGTACAAAGTAAACAGTTTAACAGGGGAAAAAGTGACTGAAAGAAACATAATCATACTCTGACAGTGAATGACTGTGTGAACATCTGAGATGCCACTTCTACTTAACTAGCAAAGAGTTAACCACACTAAATTAATACTAGTCACAAAAATCGGAGAGAATTCCCTAAATTGTGTTTAAAATAGTTCTGGCTGCGCTTAAAACAAAAATGGAGTGATACTATGGCCTGATACTGAGACGAACTACAGATATGAAGAGTAATTAATTATAAATGGCTTAAAAATGCATATGCATAAACAAAATCAAGATTTCAACCTTTTAAACTGCAAGACTTCCTGCTAACAAATAAAGTAAGTCAACATTAAGTGTATCCAGAAATTTTAATTCAGCTTTACATTAAGTTGACCTACAGACTGTGGAAGATATATACAGCAGCCACACAAACACGATCTGTATGCAAAATATGTTACACAAATTCCAGGAGCCTGAAAACAGGTTAGTTAATTCTCTACTGTAGTTTGGTACTGACAAAACCACAGCTGTCTCTTATTATTCAAAAACCTATAGGCAATACAGAGACTTTTAATCTAATGTTTTCTATATTGTCCTGGAAAAAAAAAAAGCCTCTTGGAAAAAGATCCATTATCCCAAGGAGTCCAGAAAGCCGGGAAGTTGTATACACCTGAGATTACAGGCAGTATCAAAAAGAACACTATCTGTTAAAATAAAAGATTATAAAAATGGCTAGGACCAAGTGTTCAGTGTTTCGAAGAGGTCTTTCAGCAGTATCTACCATGCATGTGTAACTAATACAAGTTATAGACCTACAATTTTCAACTGAACTCAACAGCCACAATTTGCTAATACTCCTGCAAACCAGACAGATAACTTGGGAATAACTTCTAGATAACTTAGGACACTTGTATACCAAACTACTCAGTCAACTATGGTTGAAATCACTCCAAAAAAACCTGACACATATCACAGAATCCAATTTAAGACTAACACTACTTTTTAAGAGTTTAGCATGAAAGTAGAAAGACTACTCCATCAACTGCAAGACTTCTCAGCTATTACCCTCAGCGGCTATTTGACTCACAAGCAGAACACAGTGTGCTTTTCTCCTGCATATCAAAGATCAGACATAAAGGAACATCAAGTAGCTCCTTTCCTTGTGTCATTTAGTGGAAGACCGAGGCTAGGATCTGATGTTACTTTTCTGGAAACATGACTTGAATGACTTTCCAGAGCATGTTGCCTTTAAGCAAAATCCAGCTAAATGAAGAACAATTGTTGGGTTTGTTTTTTTTTTTAGTTTACTAGGTGCCTCTGAGAACTTATGTGATTTGATTCACTGTTCTGGTAAGTTTTAAGAGTTAACTCTTAAGAGCTCACACACACTTTCAACAGCTAGGTTGACAATGAAAGTACAAAGAGAACACACAGTTATCCCAGTATATCTAACTGCACACTGGAACAACCAACTGCTCTTATTTAAAAAGCTAATCCGCATATACCACATCGGTTTTGTACTTCCGCTTTTGCAGGTATTTGTGTGCTTTCTCAAAACAAATTCTCATTTTCAGTTTGATTTCTCCCCACCAATTGACTTACTTGTCAATAGGGTACCTTAGTTTAAGCTACACCTCATTACAAACCAAGGATTTTAGTTAACCCTACTACAGCAAGACAGTATCAGTACACTTCAGAACATGTATGGTTAGCACTCTCAAGTCATACCACACACTAATCTTGGCTGTATCAGTGTAGCTGTAACCAGCTCAAAAAATTCAAATTTAACTTAGCTAGGAAAATAAAGGCCCTGTGCAAGGATCAGGGTAGTGTTTCTCCCCACCCTCTTCTTTAGTTATGGGCATTTCATGCATAAACCTGAGAAGCTTATTAGAAGTATACCACATCAAACTATTTCATGCCTCTGTGTAAAACAGAGGGAATGTTCCTTAGATTGGCAGGATTTATTATGTTTTCCTGTCAGCTGCAACAAACAGAACAGACCTTCAAGGCTCAAGAGACATTTTTCCCCCATCTGAAGTATCTTATAAAATTCTGTGACTTTGAAGTATTCTTCCAGCCTGGGCCCCCTGCTGGTGCAGAAACACACCAGGACTCAGAGTCACCCTGACCAGCATTGCCCTTGTACCACAGCAACTCCACCACCACTGCTCTCCAGAACTCATACAGATGCAGACACCTCAGAAGTCACTACTGCTAATACAACTTTGGTTAATAATAAAGGCTCATCTAACTGGACTAAACAGCAGGCTGTCAGCTTTTTTTTTCTCCTGTTGCTAATGCAGTCAGAAAATCTTCATGTGCAATGAGGAAATAAATTTAACACCTAGTGGAAATTTATGAAGTAATCTAACAGTAACAGTTTCACTTTAAGCATTTATGCACTAGGACCAAGAGGACAACTGCTTCTGAGCCAGAGTGCACTTCATCAAAAAAGAAAAAAATCCAAGAAAACTTACCAGTTTAACAGCTTCCTGAGCTGCTTCTTTAGTACAAAAAGTGACAAAAGCATATCCTCTGTTTAGACCAGTTAGTGGATCCATCATTAAGCGGAGATCCCATATAGGTCCGGCTTTCTCAAATAATGGAACAAGTTCATCTTCAAACAAGTCTCTTGGAATCTTGCCCACGAATATCTGCAACAGACATACAAAGCACTGTTTATAAAAAGTATTTCCAATGAGCAAGTCTACATCTACATAAACATCTTCTCCTTCTTACCTCTGTACCAACAGAAGGTTGCTGTCCTGAATATACAGACTCTGGAGGAGGTCCACCATATTTCCTCTGTCCAGTAGTCACATCAAGAGTGTAGCCAGTTCTCTCCAACAGTGCCTTCAAGTAAGAAACTTAAAATTTTAAAATCACATACAAACTGAGCAAGTTTAGCTGCACTTCATTCACAGACAGACATGCTTCTAATTCCTTTTAAACTGTACTGCTTTGAAGCTTCCATAAACAAACCTATTGCTAGTACTTCAACAAGAAACTTGCAAAACAATTAACAGAACTGTAAGAACTATTACTGCTAGAAAATTAAGAGATTCACATCCAGTTTTCCCAATTCCTTCATTTTCATTTAAAAAAAAAAAAGTCAAGTAATATAATAGTAACAGAGCTTCCCTTTAATTAGGAAGATCTTAGTCTGAGCCACTTCTTGTTTTGGCATGCCCAATCCTGCAGACGTTTATGCAGAAGAGTTCCCTGCACTTAATGAGATTACTCATAAGTGTGAAGTTAAAGAACACATGTTTAAGTGCTTACACCCTGGAACACTGTACAGACTGTTTCAGGTACCCAGCTACCAAAGTGATAGTACTACTTCTTTTCTCTTATCATCCCCCCTTCAAATTCCTTGTAGGCATATACAGGATCCCAGGACAACTAACCCTCGCTAGAACCACTGCATGTAGTTACAGACAGAGTTAGATATAGTTACATGCATAATACCAACTTAAAACGTTAGCTGACATTCAGCATGCAAACACATGAGAAACTCCTCTGAAATTAAGTCTTTCATAATAATTTTGTACAAAGACAAATCAACTCTATGCACAAAGAAACTGCATATTAAACAAGCCAAATTATAGTCAAGAGTTAGCAATTTTACAACTAAAAAATTGCAGTTATTTTAAATGCTAAAGCCATCAGCAGTAAAAGCCATGCTACTTGAAGTTATTGACCAAGTCCTCGTAATACTGTTGTTTTATATGGCGGTGACAAAAACTGTACCATTTTTTAAAAAAAATGTATAATTAATGGCATTTCAGCCTCAAACTAAAGAGAAAAGAGATTTTTCTAATTTTACAGGGTACATAAGTTATTTGTAATGATAACTTTATACTATTTACACGAAGCATCAAAGAAGAAAGATTCTCTGGAGGGTCTTTACGACATCACCTAAACATGCTTAGATGGTTTTCCTTTCCTTAAGCTTTGGTAAAGTTGCTATTCATAGAATTTTAAAACAAATCATCATATGCCTAATCTCTGAGAAAGGAGTCTTCTGCGAGCAGCAGACACGGTCAAAAAATAATTTACCCATAAAGACAGTTTGGGGTACAGTTTATGAGCAGAGTGATTATGTCATAAGAAGCGGGCTAAATCTTAAATCCATTACAATCTGTTTTTTCAGACACATGGTATCTCCTCCCTATTGTGGAGTTGCTCTAAATCTGAACTAAGGGGGTGGAGTGGAAACAGCAACAAAAAAACAGAACACAAAAACCAATCAGCAGTAGCTGAACTTATGCATTTTGAACTTGAGTAACTATGCTGACAAGCATGCACAAACTTTTTACTGTGAAATAGAGTAACTGTCTCAATAAGACATAGAGCAAACTGTGAAACCTTTTTAACTTTTATATGTTTGGTTCCAGCAGTATATTAACCTTCTACTTCAAAAGAAAAATGGGCGGGACAAAATTTCAAGTGACAGCTTTCAACAATGACAAACATGACAAGTAATCTGTAATAATATTTTTAAGAAAAGCCAGTTCCAAAATAACCAACATAACTATCACAACAACTTGGAAAAACAAACAAGAGGTAGACCTCATAACTTTAATTTTTACTGACATACCTTAATTTTTGCCTCATCTGGTCCTTTGCTAGAATCTGCCACCTTGGTCCCCTGTTTTTCCCTCTGCCTGTATGTCTTCATGACTCCACATAAAAAGGCACTTTTGTTCTGCAAAAAATACAATCTTCAGTTCTGAAAACATGACAAGCAGGAATCTCATTTCACCTTGAACTAATACAGTGTTCATTTCACATATCACACATGGATCACTGAAGAGACTCAGACTTCTTCCCAGACAACAGTTTACCCATCAACAATTATACTGTAAAGTGCCAAACGTTACCTGAACATGTGAGAGATCACTGTCTTTAAACTGCTGAAGCACTGCCAGTGCACCTTCTTCATTGAATTCCTTTAAAGCTTCAATAGCTCTTTCATCTAGATCACTATGTGCAACTAGCCCTAGAGAAAAGAAAAAAATTACTAATTACATTTGGTCAGTAATCTTTGTAAAACCTAATGTAGAATCCTTAACACATTTCAGTGACCTCTAAATCAATTACTGATTAAATAAGTTATTATGCATAAAAAACCATTTAGTTCCTTTGAAGTTAAATATTTAAGGACACATAATCCTTTAATTAAAACCAAAAAGAGGTAAGACTCAGAGTAAAAGTTACTACATTTATGTATTCATTTGACTTCTGTGAAACCCAGATGTTACAAGGGGCAAGTTTAATTTCAATATCCTGAAGCTGAATTCAGAGGAGTCTGTCAAAACCTACCAAAGCTGTCTTAGCTTGCCTAGCAATGGTACCTTGGTATGTTTTTAGAAGACTATAAATACAAATAAACTGCAGCACTAAAAATGGCCATCACAGTCCAAAAATCAAGCTTAAAAAACGCTGGCAATTACCACATCTGAAAAAACCAACACCATAACTTCTGCATCCATGAGCCCAAGCACCATGTCAGGAAGTATCACTTACACAAGAAGATGCATACCAAGGCTTTGGTTTCTTACAGTTACCTACAATTACCGCAAAAAATGCACAAAGACCACATCATCGGCTCCTCCTAAAAATCATCTGTTGCCTGTTACAGCTGTTGCTCTGGTCCTCTGCATACTTCTTCCCACCCCTCAGCCCAAGTAGGCTGGGACCTACCTCTGAAAGATACTACAAGGAATTGAACTACCGAGACTAAAGCATCCAGATTTTGGTAAAACTGCAGTTCCCATACTTTTGGAAACCACAAAAAGTTGCTATTTTAGCCCAAAGACAGCAGAATCCAATAAAATATTGTACGTGTGGTTTTGCAAGTCTTAGATCTTACCTGCAACGTAAATTTCATCTAGTTTTTCAGCAACTTTCTGTGGTAAACCAGCATCAAGCAATGTCTGGAAATGCTCAGAATGGGTAACTGCAGCAGAAGTATCCATGGGCTCTTCAGTACCATTCCCATTAACATGTTCAGTAGCCATGTTTCCAGATATCTGTTCAAATGCAATAAGCATCAAAATTAAGCTAGATATATCTTCAGGTAGAACAATTCAAGTGACAATACATGCAACAGACTACCCTATTCTTTGAAAGTCGTGGGGAAAAAAAATATAAAAAATAGCAGATCACCGCCTTGACACTTTTTTTTTGGCTTTGCAAAGCGCAGGAAATTCCTCACAAGAAGCACTAACACAAAGGAAAGCCCTAACACCACTGCCTAGGGGGGGTGGGGTAGCTTTCACTGCAGGTTTTACACAACCCAGACAGACACTGACTCACCTCCCCTCTCTCTAACACACTCCCTAAGACACTGAACAAGTTAGAAACGGAGCAAAAAGGCAAGAGCGGGGGTGGCAGGACAAGCAAACCTGCCACATGCACCGCGATACCGTCACTGACACTCGCTGCCGCCTCCACTGTCCGCTGTAAACTCGCTGCCCCTCGGCGCACGCCGCCTCTCCAGGCCCCGGGCGCGGCCGGGATCCCTTCCCGCCTCCACTTCGGTGCCGGCCGGGCAAGCGAGAGGAACAAAGCGCTCTTCCCAGCCCGCACCCACCCACGGCGGCGGCGGCCATGAGCCCGATGGAAACACGTGCTCCGCGCGTTCAGATGTCCTACAACTTCCTCCAGTGACCGACTTCCCCCCCTCCCCGCAGCACTCCCGCGGGAGGAGCGGCTCCCCCCCGCCCGGAGCCCCGGCCATTCCCCACCTCTCACCCTATTCCCCCCGGAGAGCGGGTTGCAACACCCCGGGCCCGATTTCACCACCCGGCCGGGAGCTCGCGGAGCCTCCCGGCCCCGCCGCCGCCTCCCGGCCACACTGCCGTCCGGAACAATGCAAGGCCCCGTTTCCCAGCCAGGAAACACCGCTGCCCATCGCCCACCGGCTCCCGACGTGACCGGGGCCACGCCAAACCCGGGCGGCCCCGCTCCCCGCGCACACGCCGGGCACCGAGGCCGCCGCTCGCCCCGCGCCCCTCACGGGCAATGAATGGAGCGGCGGGGCCGGCGGGACAATAAGGCGGGAGCCACGCGCCCCGCGCCGGCCCGGCTCGGGTGTGCCCCGGCCGCCGGGGCCGCGCACCGGCCCGGCCGCCCCGCGCCCGCCCGACAGCGGCGGCCGCGAAAGCAGCGCCGGCAGCTCCTCCACCCACCGCGCGGCGCCCCGGCCCCACGGCGCTGCAGGGCCCCAGCGTGCGCCTCCCGCCCTCCGCCCGCTCTGCCACCCGGCCCGCTCCCGCCCCGGCAGCGCCCGGCCGCCCTGACCTGTGTGTGTCTGCGGGGGGAGAACCGCCGTGTGCCAAGGGTCTCTCGGGGCGCGGGTCGCGGCTCGGCGTGCTGAGGCGCTGCCCCCGTTCCGCGCTCCCGCGGCGGTGTGTCCGGGCAGTGCTGCTGCTGGAGCTGGCGTAAAATGGCGGCCGCTCGAGCGCTCACGCCGCTGCTGCTGCTGCTGCTGGCACCAGCCCCGGCCCCTTCCACTCCGCGCGGGGGGGGCGGGCGGAGGGCGGGCGGGAGCGGAGCGGGGGGAGAGGGAAGAGAAGAGGAGGAGGAGGAGGAGGAGGAGGCGCCGCCGCGCGCGCTGGCGCAGCCCCAGAACCCGGGGTCTCCCAGGCAGCTCCGCAAGGGTTATACCGCCGAGCCCCGCCCGCGCGCGCGCCCGCCCTCCCTGTGTTCGCCCCACGCGCGCGCTCTCCGCCTTCCATGCGGAGCGGCGCGCGCCGCTCCCGGCCTGCGTTCCTCCCGCCTTCCCGCGTGCAGCGCTGCCGGGGGGAGGCGGCGGCGGGACGAGCCCCGCGCGCGGACCGCGCGCTCCCCGGCGCCGCCCGCCTGCACCTGTGCGGGCTCGGCGCTGCCGGAGCGGCGCGGCCGGACCGGGATTGGGCGAGCGGCCGTTCCCACGGCGCGCAGGTGGCACAAACGCGGCGAGAACGGCGGCGGCCGCAGGAGGAGGGGGGGCTTGGGAGAAAGTCCCGGCCCGCGGCGGGGAGGGGACGGAGGAGACAAAGCCACGCAGACAAAGGGAGGGGAGAGCCACGCTTTGTGTGGCTGCCGGCCAGGCGAGCCCGGCGGCGCTCGGCGCTCTGGCGCTGGGGACGGGAGGCGCCTCGCCCCTGCTCAGAGGGGCGCCCCGCGCCCGGCACCGGCCCCGCGGGCTGCCGGCCCGGCAGAACCGCCCGGCCGAGGCAGCCTGCCCGAGGAGAGCCGGAGTTTCCTTCGGGCACCGCGCGGCGTGGCGGCGTCCAGCGGGGCCCCGGGTCGGCGGCGCTGGAGGCGGCGCGGGCTGGGACGCCGCGCAGCTCCGGAATTCCGCAGAACGGGCCCGGGAACGGGGCCTTTGCCCCGCAGCCACTCTTGGAGCGCGCCCGCCGTGGTGATTTAACTTTCTCCCGATGGCCCCAGCGGAATGCGGGTCTGCCTGCGCAGCGCTGTCAGAGGCGGGTTCCGTGCTGGAGCGTACACTTCAGAATCCCGGTTCTGAGCACGTCGCACTTGCACACCCCACACGAGAAACTTGGAAACCAACCTACTGATCTCTGCCAGAGTTGTGTGTCCAGATAAAGACAGCATAAAGGGAGGCAGGAAGGCACATACAGTATTACTCACTTCCCCAGAGGCAGCTCAGCCGCAATTTGAGCAGTGCCTGCTGCCCCTGAGCCCGGCCAAATACTTCCAGCATATCTCCAGTACTTTAAAAACACTTGAACCTGTGCAGTGGAGCGAGCACAGACAATTACAGGGTTAGTTCAGTGTCAACAAATGCTCACATGTTGGCGTATAAGTGTGTGAAATATACAACTGGTATTCAGTGATACAAGCTAAAAAAAAAGATCTCTTCAAGTATTCGAAGCAGTAAGACTTCATTAAAACCTAGACCACTCAGATTTGTCTGAAACAGGAACAAATACAAGACAAATGTACACTATCAAATAGTCCGACTAATTTTTAATTCAAATTTTTTGATAAAAGGTAATTTTTACTCTGACTTTGCCCCACCTTTGCAAAAATGAAACTTCCTGAAAAAAAATTTAGTAAAACAAAAGCTAACTTTTCTAGTGGAAACCTGAGTGGTATTTTTAAACATATCCTTCATAAAAATATATATTCTTTTTTCCATTCAAAAGTTAATAATTTTTTCCAAGAACATAGCTGTCAGCTGGCGAGTGAAATTGATATTCTCAAAAACAGCCCTGGGGAGCATTTTTCCAGATTTCCAATTTTTCCGGTTTTGGAGGATTTGCACCAAAGCATGTTGTTTTCATATGTTTACATAAGGTGCTTCAGTGTTAGGTTTATAGTACAGATGTGGTCCAGAATATTACCTAAATTTCATAAATGCATTTGGTCTCTGGAAATAATGAAAATAGTGAAAAATCACAAGAACCATTAGGGTTGGAAGGGACCTCTGGAGATTATCCAGTCCAAGTCTCCTGCCAAGAGTTGAGTCACCTAGAGATACAGGAACATGTCCAGGTGGGTTTGGAATTCTACAGAGAGGAGAAGCACAACCTCCCTGGGCAGCCTGTTCCAGTCCTCCACCACCCTCAATGTAAAGAAATTATTATTCATGTTGAGGTGGAACTTCTTGTGCTTAATTATAATTCTCAGCCAGTCATTCTAACTGTAGATGCAAACTCTTGAGAACGTAATTCCTGCTTTCAGGCCCATTTTTTAGAGGAAAGCTTTTTTATGCATTTAACTTTTTTCTCCATAAAATTGAAACAAACACAATAAAAAGACTAGGTTTAATGCAGTGAACAGATTTCCACCCTTATTTAAAATCACAGCTGACCCAGAGTTGCAGTTATTTGATCCTTTGAAATTTTACATAGAAAGCAGGAGGCACAGAGCTGGCCGAGGGCTGACACACAATTCCTCCAAATGTAGCTCCATTATTAGCCCTAATGTCAAAGCCAAAAGTGGCATGCCCAGGAAAACCCTGAGATTAGCTCAACTGGGTAGAGCATTGTGCTAATGAGACCAAGTCACAGGCTTAATCCCTGCATGGGCTATTCACTTAAGAGTTGGACTCAATTATCCCTATGTGTCCCTTCCAACTCACAATATTCTGTAATTCTTTGAAAAGATCCTTGAAACCAGTGGGGTTTTTTCTTTTTAATTATGTAAAACACTGATTGAAAAAATAGGCTTTCCAAGAATATTCACAGGTACTTACCTGGTGACTTAGTTTTACATGAGGAGCTTCTCTGCACATGCCTGGAAGTTTGATAGCTTCTCACCATAATGAAAATTGTGTTGATTCCTAAATTTTCCTGGTATGTGAAAACCCTGCCTCCTTCTTTTGCAGTTATAGTCATTGCAGAACCACACTGAAGCTACAGCCAGACTTCATTCATGTAAAACCAGTGATTACAACAAGACCAACTACAGAGTAGCACAGATAAAGCAGCAAAAAAAAAAAAATTAATTTGACAAATAGACTAAGAGACTAGTTTTTGCTTTGGAGATACCTATATACAGTTAAACAATCATATCCTAAAAAAAGAACAAAAAAATTCAGGAAACTCAACTGGAATGTTATCTTCAGTTTCTATGATGCCTCACCTTTCCAAAGTGTGTATTCATTAGAAATTTAGGCTTGTCTGTAGAATTCACTGTTCTTGAGCTCTGAAATGCACCAGCTACAGCCCTAGAGGGGTGGATCACTCTGGTCATGCAGCAAATGTCATCACTTGTAATAACAAAACAAGCCCCTTGTGCTGTGTCTGCCACAGCAGAATTCTGAAATTAATGAGCCACTCTTGGGGTTTCTCAGCAGTGTGCTTTTCAAGCCATTCCTGGTCCTTAGGCTGGTTGGTAAGGCTGCCAAGTTATTTATATATTATAAAGATGCTTCAGGAAAGGATTGCTGTCTGTATTTTATTCAATGTAGTGCACAGCTGGCTAGTGGTCTATTTGCCCTGCAAGATCTTTGGTAAAATAAAGCTATTTGGAAATATCTGTTTTAATTAAAAATTTGTGCTATTTCTTCATTTTATCAGTCAAATTCTCTGTCTTAAAAGATAAGTTGCATTATAAAATGCAAAGCCTGTGTCTCTTAGGAGAAAAATGCAAGTCAGAAATTAATGAAAAGCAGATGAATCACATATATGAAACTTCCTTCAGAAAAAATAATTTTCATGTATTACTGTCTCAGTCTTTAACATGCAGATTTGAGATCCTTCCATTCTATAAAAAGTAGCTTACCATCTAAAATTGTCACATGATTTCAGCAAAGAAACTTTGCTAACATAACTAATGGTAATATTTTCTTTTAACATTCTTTTCAGTTATATCCTTTGTGCATATTCAAACTTTTTCAATCCAGGCAAGGTAGCACTTCTTAAAATTGAAGTTCATCCCCCTTATATTTAAACTATTTCTAAAGTTCTAACTTTGATCCTGCTGATTCTTCAAGCACTCCACTTCTAACTAAGTCAGGAAAACAAACGGAGCAAACAAAGCATTTGCAAATGCAGTATGATTCACAGCACCAGAGGCAATGAGCACAAACTGAAATACTCTCAACATGAGGAAACACTTTTTTACTGTGAGAATAACCAGACACTGGCATCAGTTGCCCAGGGAGGTTGTAGAGTCTCCATCCTCCAAGACATTCAAAACCTGTCTGGACATGGACCTGAGCATGTGGTGGGCCTGCTGGAGCAGGCAGATTCTGTGATGGAGTTTTTTACCCTGGATCCAGTGCTATCCATTAATTGATTCTTCTTTCCCCCTCCACCCCACCCTGTCCCAATCAAAAACCCGGAGTAACTAAGTTTTAACTAATTTTTAATTCTTCTAGTTCTGCAAGATGGAAGAGGAGTCTGATTCTACAGACTTGACACAATGCATTTCAAGGCCTTTGAGGTTGAAATCACCTGAATTCTGCTAAACATTTATCCAGATATTTGCAGGCAGAGAACAAGCCTGGCAATGAGGAAGAATGAGGCTCTCCCAGGAATTCTTCTGCTGTTGAATTTTATGTATAGACTGAAGGTGTTGAATTCTCTCGCTTTTATGTCTGTGCTATAGCAACACTGCCAGTGAAAGAAAGGGTATCGAACTGCTAATTTCTGTAAAGTATCTATGCTATAAGTATTTTTTCCAACATCAGTCACTGGTTTTACCTCTTCTCAGTCAACATCATCCCCAAACACACAGGTACATCTACACCCAAACAAAATACTCCAGAGCTGACTTTGTAAGAAAGAGGCATAAGAGAAGCAGCATAAGGTAGTTTAGTTCACATTCTATTAATATCTTTAGGTTTTTTTCTAACTTAAATTAGAAGATTTTAACAGTTGTTTACCAGCTGAGGGTTCAGAGCAATCACTGTAGAATTCAATGTATTTGTCGTATGTTGTAGGCTAATGTGCAAGTATTGAAAGAGGACTGGAG